AGAGAGAAAGCCTTCCCCTGGAGCTGACATGCTGAATTTGGACTTTTAGCCTACTTTTCTGTAAGGAAATCAACTTCTCTTTCTTAAAACCATCCACTTGTGGTATTTCTGTTATAGCAGCACTAGATAACTAAGACATTCCCCAACCTTCCCCTCCCTCTTAACCATCAAAGATTGTTTCTTTTTGTGTATAAACCTTTTCATGAGTTTTTATAATAGTGGTTTCATACAGTATTTGTCCTTTTGTGATTGACTTTTCTCACTTAACATATGCCCTCCAGATTCATCCATGTTGTGAGACGTTTCACAGATTCATCATTGTTCTTTATCATTGAGTAGTATTCCATTGTGTGTATCCATTCATCTGTTGATGGATACTTAGGTTGTTTCCATCTTTTCGCTATTGTGAATAATGCTGGAATGAATATGGGTGTGCGTATGTCTATTAGTATGACGACTCTTATTCCTCTAGGATATATTTCTAAGAGTGGGATTGCTGGATCATATGGTATTTCTATTTTTAGTTTTTTAAGGAAGTGCCATATCGTCTTCCAAAATGGTTGTGCCATTCTGCATTCCCACCAGCCTCTCCAACACTTGTTACTTTCTGTTTTTTTGATTTGTGCCAGCAATGTCTGCATCAGATGGTATCTCCTTGTAGTTCTGATTTGCATTCCTCTAATGGCTAGTGATTGTGAGCATTTCCTTATGCATTTGTTAACCACCTGAATGTCTTCTTTGGTGAAGTGACTGTTCATATCCTTTGCTCATTTTTTAATTGGATTATTTGTCTTTTTGTTGTAGAGGTGTTGGATTTTTCTATAGATTTTAGACATTAGACCTTTGTCAGGTATGTAATAGTCCAAAATTTTTTCTCAGTCTACAGATACTCTTTTGATGAAGTCTTTTGATGAGCATATGTGTTTAATTTTTAGGAGATCCCAGTTATCTAGCTTCTCTTCTTGTGTTTGTGTATTTTTAGTTATGGTTTGTATCCAACTTATGCCATACATTAGGGCCTCTAGCGTTGACCCTATTTTTTCTTCTATGATCTTTATAGTTTTTGGTTTTATATTTAGGTCTTTGATCCATTTTGAATTAGTTTTTATGTATGGTATGAGGTATGGGTCCTGTTTCATTTTTTTACAGATGGACATCCAGTTTTGCCAGCACCATTTGTTAAAAAGACTTGTCTTTTCCTTATTTAATGGATTTTGGGCCTTTGTTAAAGATGAGGTAACCGTAGGTGGATGGATTTACATCTGGATTCTTGATTCTGTTCCACTGGTCAATGTGTCTGTCATTGTAACAGTACCAGGCTGTTTTGACTACTGTAGCTGTATGGTAGGTTCTGAGGTCAGGTAGTGTGAGGCCTCCTACATTATTTTTCTTCAATAATGCTTTACTTATCTGGGGCATGGTTTTAATTTTTAATCTAGGGCTTAATTAATCTCTTCATGTGTTGTGCATTCTCATACCTTTAGAATATACAGGAAAAAAATCAAAACAGAGGTTGTAAATGTGGATCTTGAGTATATGTTAAAAGCTTTCGGTATAGATTTAGGACTTGTACATGGACTTGAAACCATAGAAATGGGTGATAGCCTTAGGAGTTTAGGTGGACCCAGAAGGGAAGATGACTATACATTGTCATTTATAGAGGGTAAGTAGAAGAGGAAGCTCTAAGGAAAGAGAGAGAGGTGAGAGAGCTAGGAGAATCAGGAACAATGGGGAGGCCTAGGAGAGCTTTTCCAGGAAGTGGTGATTCTATCCCAGACACTAGGAATAGGCCAAGCAAGATGAGAACTGAAGCTGAAGTTTTCCTAATTACATATACACTCCATTTACCAAAGCAGTGGGAGACAAGAATTTTGTTTTTCTCATTTTCAACCAAAATGTTTTCGTTTCCTTACTTTTCATGATATATACTTTTTAAACAACAACGGGAAAGGTATAAATCATATGTTATTATTTGTCATATACACACACACATATAAAAGCTCATTGCCATTGAGTCCACTCTGACTCATAGCGACCCTATAGGCAGAGTAGAAACCCTTAGGGTTTCCAAGGAGTAGCTGGTGGATTCGAACTGCCAACCTTTTTTTTAGCAGCTGAATGTTTAACCACTGCACCACCAAGGCTCCCATAACTTTGTATATACTGAGGATATTTCTGGAAGGCTACACAAGAAATTGGTAACTTTGTTGCCTCCCAGGGCCAGTTTCTGGGATAACCCTTGAGGAGTGGTATTGGAGAGATACTTTCCACTTTTGTACCTCTTGAGTCATGAACATGTATTACCAATTCAGATAATAAGTACAATTAAAGCTAAAAAATAAAACAAGGTCCTTTTTATCATGTTGAACTTTTACAGTTATGGGGAAAGTATTTTAAGACATTGCTGTGGCTGGAAAAGATATTGTCACTTTGTCTGTTGAGCCCAGGAACCCAGGTGCCTGTAGCTTTTCAGTAGAGGGGAATAGGTGAAGTTTGTTAAATTAGTATTAATCAAGTTAGTGTTGGTGAAATATGTCATATTAAAGAATAGGTTATGGTTGAGTCCTAAGAATGGACAGATTACGTGTGAGTATCCAGAAGGCCAGTATTCTCTCTGAAGTAAGAGCCGCATTCTAAAGCTGAAATATGCATGGTAATTAATTAAACAGATCATAGAGTCCCTTGGTGGCACAAACAGAAAGGTTGGAGGTTCTAGTTTACCCAGAAATGCCTGAGAAGAAAGGCCTGGCTGGTGATCTACTTCTAAAAACTTCAGCCCTTAAAAACCCTGTCTAGCACAGTTCTACTCTGAGTCGCCATGAGTTGGGGTCAACTCAATGGCAGCTAGTACTGGTGGTTTTCAGTTACCAAGGCCCGAATCCCGTACTTATGGTTCAAAACAGAATAAGAACACTCATCATATATCTGTGCACCTCTTAAAATTCTCAATCTAATCAAAATATTCTCCTGGAGAGTTTTACTATTTTCTTTTTATAGATATGATTTATTTAAAAGAGATAATGGATGTTATTGGTAGAAAGGTGGTTTTTTAATGTAAAGAAATTGGAGAAGAGCTTCAGGTTAAATACTGATCGTTCATTCTGTGGGTCTCGGAATAGAAATTTAGATGGTATGTAAAACGATTCTCAGAAAAATGTAATGCTATTCAGTTTTCTATTTTCTGTATCAGAATTTGGATTAAAAATAGCAAACACTGAGCCTGTGCATCCAAAGATATGGCTGCTGCAAACACTAGAATATGTATGTCTTGTTATTTTAAGTGGATGATTAATGTAAGGAGCCTTAAGGTTTTGGAAGCAACTCAGCAAAATGAGAAGTTACTTTTTGATGTTTGCAGCCAGCCTGGATAAATTACAATTCAGGCAATTAACAATAAATTTGGAACAAAGAATATTATTTATTTTTTTTGTAACTAGGGAAAACTGAGCTGCTTGTAAAATTCAGATAGAATTGTATGGCAGTTGGCACTTCAAACTACGTTTGGCAAATACAGTGGATCATCTTTAATGAAGGAAGTTTTCTTTTTAACTCTACGTTAAAATACCTATAACTGATATTTTTGCCATTTCCCAATGAGGGGAGAGCTATGTTTATTTCCTGTAATTATAATGTAATTATGGATAGCTTTTCCTTTATAGAGTAGGCTTCAGTTTCAATCAAATATGGTTGTAAAATTACTTAAAGTAAGAAACTATATTAGCAATATTTCCCCTTTTTAAATTATAGTAGCACATTAGAGTCTTCATCAGTCATCTCTTTACTGTTTTTTTCTCTCTTGACTCCTTCCCCAGTATTCAGGTTTCCAACATGTTCTATAGGTATTGCCAAGTTTTTCGTCTTTTCTTTGCTGCTAAAATCCCTTTCTGACTATTCTATATCTGTCGCCTCCATTTTTCACCATCTCTTCTGCATAATGCTTACAAGTGACCTGCTAATGACAGTGTGGTAGCCTTTTTTTTTTTTTTTTTTTATTGTACTTCACGTGAAGGGTTAAAGAACAAATAGTTTCTCATGAGACAGTAGGTGGTAGACTTTTATTAGCCCTCATCTTTTGCAACATTTTTGTGGCATTTAACCCTGTTAACCGATATACCAAATCCTATTGACTCTACTTTCAAAATACATCTCTAATCTGACCACTTCTCATCAACTCCATCTCTGCCACTAATCATTGCTTCTCTGCTGGTCTACTGCATTTGCCTCCTAACTACTCTCCATGCTTCTGCTCTTGCTCTTGACAGTTTATTCTCCATAAGCTAGCGTAATCTTTTTAAAAGGCAAAATGTTACTTGTCTCCAGAGGACTCCAAGAAGATCCAAAGTCCGTGCCATTGCTTATAAGACTCACTATGATTAGAGCCCCAGATGCCTTCCGACTTTAAGGTTTAAGGATGACGGAAGAAGTCATTGGTGCAATCACTTGCCATTTTACTCACTTTTTTTTCAGGGTCACTGTATGGAAACCCTATGGGGGCAGTTCTACTCTGTCCTGTATGGTCGCTGTGAGTTAGAACCGACTTGACAGCAGCAGGTTTAGTTTTGGTTTTGATATGGAGCCTGGTCGCACAGTGGTTAAGCACTCAGCTGCACACCAAGAGGTCAGCGGTTTGACTCCATCAGCTGCTCCTTGGAAACCCTATGGGGCAGTTCTACTCTGTCCTGTAGGGTCGCCATGAGTTGGAATCGACTTGACAGCCCTGGATTTGGTTTGGTTTTGTAGCTGTCTCTATGGGTGTGCAGTGGGGAACAGCACCTCTGAAACTCTAACACCCCCACGTAGCCATATGCCGTTGGCAGCTGGAGAGTCGTATAAAATCAGCACTGGTCATGTTCTTATGCACACTTATAAACACCTCTCTCTGTCTTAGTGCTTTAGCATTGGTAACTATTTTGTGGTGAGCTACTTAATCAGAACTTTAAAAATTATTGGGCTTCTGATCATTAAGAAATTAATTTGGTTTTTATTTTTATTTTTTCCAGGTGTATGGTCGCTGATGAAGTAAGTGTTTTCATGATTTTTTTGTCTTTTAAAAAATTCTACAACCAATTTTGAATGTCTGCTATTTTCCATACATCATTCTCTCTCTTTCTCATATGTCTATATATGGAAAGAGATTGGGGAAGTAGAGTTGGAAGGGGAGGAGAAAGAATAAATACATGTGCATGTGTGGAACATGTGTTAATATTAACAGTGATACAGATTTTTATATTGTCGTCCTACAGTGCATGAATGTGCTTTGAAAGTTAGCCCCAAACAAAGTTGAACTTTTTTTTTTTTTTTTAATACCTGTTACAGTACTGCCTGCTTGCTTAAAGGCTTAAAAGCCAAACTTTTAAGATATTTCTTCAAAGATTATTTTTTATTGTTTTCTATGAAACATAGGTATTTGAAACATAGCATTAAAGGGTATATTATTATGACTAAATGATTTGTTACCTTGTATATATCCATATTCGTGCTTTCTCAGTGAAATGGCAGTTCTTGTTATATGAACTGTGATAGTGTTTACAGATGTTCTAAGAGAAACGTAAATCAATAAACTTTTAATTTCTAATGTCTTCTTGAGAAATATGTTGCTATTTCTCATGAATCCTTTAAGAATAACAGCAAAACACACGTTTCAGAATATATTAGAAATAGAGAAAATGGAAACTGAATTTTTAAAAAATAGAAATGGAACCGTAAAAAACTTTCAATGAACTTTTAGTTTTAATAACATATAGACATCCACCAATGGCTCACCTCTATGGTCTCCTCTTTAGGAAAAGAAATGAAATGGGTATAACATGAATGCTAGGCAAAAAGATTGATATAGGATTTCTTGGTTCAAGTTGATTAATTAAACTAAGTTTTTAGTTTGAACTCTTCATTCTACAGGCATTTATTTAGACTAGATATTGTAGTTAGAAATATAGTCATTACCTGTGAAGACCTTCAATAATGTAATTGAAGAGACATCTGGGAAACAATTACAGAAATTTCTCTTTGGAAAAGAGTGAGTTCCAAAAGGCTGTTCATAAATGTATTAATTTGGGAGTCCATAATCACTGAAACAGGCTCGCGTTTTTGTCCCTGAATATGTTTTCACCAAATAGGAATGTAAACTCATCATTCATAGCCTGAAAACTAGGCATAACCATTTCCTCTTACACATATATACTGATTCTTTTTATATTACATGAGATATTTGATGTTTGTGTATAAATAACCAGTAAGTTTTTTTTTTAATGAACCAGTTTTTTGTACATAGAAAATATATTGAAAAAGGTAATACAACCCTGGATGATCTCACAAGCAAATCACGGGGAAAGTCTTAGCAACTCTGGTAGGGAATTGCTACCTTGCTCCTCACTTTGATGTCCTAGAGATTTGAATAGACCCTAAATCTGTGGAATCATCCATGCAATAAGATAAAAATTTGATCAGCACCTTAAACCCTTCTTAACTTTTATGTTCTACAAACTACTGTCGTCTCCTTAGTTAACCTTAGACCAAGCTATCTAAAGCTCATGGTGAACCCTTATCCAGCAAGTTTTTTTTCATTATAGCAATTGTTTTTCTCATCTCGTAATAGGAATTGAATCCACTCCACTGGCATCTTGTCCAGTTGTTGTGGTTTATTAGCAATTAAATAGCACTTTTCACCTCTTGAGTGATTTTCTTCCTTCAGAATCTTTCTTATTTTGGAAGGAGCCATTTAACATTTCTTTAATACTTTTCATTCTTTTTTTTGGTTTGTTTTTAATTTTCTCTTTTGTTTCTATCGTAACGATTTCCCATTTTCACCAGCCTTTTGAAGACTCTCATTGCTTATACACATATTCAACTTTACAGGGCTTATGATATTAAATCCTATCAATAATGTTAATTAAGAAAAAGACCCCTGTTATAGATTTAATTGTGTCCCCCAAAAATGTGTGTCAACTTGACCAGGCCATGATTACCAGTATTGTGTGGTTGTCCTCCATTTTGTGATCTGTTGTAATTGTCCTATGTGTTGTAAATCCTAACCTTTATGATGTTAATCAAGCAGGATTAGAGGTGGTTACGTTAAGGAGGCAGGAAACAATCTATAGGATTAGGTTGTTTCTTGAGTCAATTTCTTTTAAGATATAAAAGAGGGGAGCTAGCAGAGAGAAGAGGACCTCATTACCACAAAACAAGAAGAGCCAGGAGTGGAGCAAGTCCTTTGGACCCGGGGTCCGTCCACTGAGAAGCTCCTAGACCAGGGGAAAATTGATGACAAAGACCTTTCCCCAGAGCTAACAGGGAGAGAAAGCCTTCCCCTAGAGCTGATGCCCTGAATTGGGACTTCTAGCTTCCTAAAATGTGAGAGAATAAATTTCTCTCTGTTAAAGCCATCCACTTGTGGTATTTCTGTTACAGCACCACTAGATAACTAAGACAACCCCTGAGCTTTATACATGAGTACAAAAATAGGCTATACAAACAAACAGTATGATCTAGAAGTCTAAGATCGTAGTTCACAACCACTAACATCTATGAGTGATAGAGTTGAAATGCTTTTTTATGGAATCTCACTGAGCTGGTGTGAATGGAAGTTTCTAAATTAAAATTGCTGAAGTAGAAAGAACTTGTTTATATGTTAATTATGTGAACTCTGTTTTGACCTTCATTCTATTTCCTAATACTGTTTTCCTTTTCTTGCTCTTATCACAGAATGGTAGTGAAATCAGAGAAGGAAATGCAGTTATAATTTGAAGGTCAACCACTTTCTGGTTTTTAGATTAAAAAATATATTTTGATGTGATAAATACTTGACTCATCAAATAACTAAAAGCCTTAGGAGAACAATTTTACATCTGTGTTATTGAACCTCCTTTTTTTTAGATGCTTGAATACCCACTTGGAGTGTTGTGTAATTTAGCTGTCTGCTGTGATCTTTCCTCCCTAGCTTTAGAAAAAAATGACTTCCTTCACTGCTATTACTCCCCCTTCTTTTAGTATTTTTCCACCATTATATTTTTCTAATTTATTCAATCTTTATAGAATTATGAATCTATCTACTGTATGTAAGATAGTCATTAAATTAAAATTAGAATGAGTTAAGTTCTGTTTAATTTTGTTTAATTGTGTGATCGTTGTGTATTTCAGTTATGGAACTATACTTCGGGTAGACGACAGAGCTGTTAAGTTTTTATAAAATTAAATTTGCAAACCAAGCTTGAAATGTTTTAATTGCTTTCTTTTCTCCCTCTGTTGATTTAATACAATTAAGTGTTATTCAAAGTCTATGTGGGGAATATATGGACACTCTTGTAAATAAATAATGGAATTCAGACCATAGTCTATAGACAGGATGCTACAGCATTACCTTTTATTTACATTGTTTTTATAATAATTATTTTTGAACAGTGTGATTTTAGTTGATTGTTCTTCATTTGAATATTTATGTCAAATGTTTATTCATGAAAGCTATTTTAAATGTGAAAATTATTTCGTATTAACATAAACTAGGCAATTTAATTGAGTGGTACATGGGGCAAACATTAAACCTACACACTTCCTACCTTATTTGTCAAGATTTAAAGGCTATTGTTTCTAGAAACATAGTATTTAAATAGTTTTTGCAATGTTAGTCTTTACCTGAGAAGATAGGACTAACATCTTGGATTTACATGAATAGCCCAATATTGTATCATAATGGAGAAAATTTTGTCTGTACATAGATTCTGCTTTCTTCGTTTATTATTGATGTCAGGAAACTCCTACTCTCCCCTTACGTAACTCTCCTCATAAGTACTGTACTTTAACTCCCTCTTCCCATACACGCACACACATATTCACATGCCGAGAATATATTTTCTTCCGTTCTTTCCTGTTAGTTTGATAATTGTCTTTATGGAGAAAAAAATGTTGTTGGGGGTGGAAGGTATGGCAGATAAAGTATTGCTTCCCTTCATTTTTCAAAAGAAAAGGAAACTATTTGTATCAAGGCTAAGATTATTCCTGGCTTGGGGTACTTGGTAGCTATTTGGGGACATATTAATAGGTAAATATTTGAAAGAGAGGCTCTATAGTCACCGTTATAGATGCTGTTCTTTTGGTCAAGGTGCTTCTCTAGAAAAGGAGTTTGGAGGGAAAAGGCTGTGTGACCTGTCCAATGCTGATAGAGGTGTTTCCATACCCTGAAGTTAAGTTTGAAAGGCCTTGTCAGTTTCTTTGTTGGCAGAAATCTACAAGTATATAGAAACATTAAAGAACCTCTTTTGGAGGTTATTTCTGCTCAGAAGACCTTAAAATTGATACAGTGGTACGGAGACTCTTGCAAAGTTAACTTCATAGGTTTGAGGATCAAGAAATTCAATTAAAGTAGATGTGGAGAATTTTAGTTTTTCTTTCATGTAACCCTATCCTTTACAAAGTGAACTAAGATTGCAATTGTTATTCCATTTGCTTTTCTAATCCCTAGCTTTCTTTTACTACACTCAAGTTGAATTTAACACTTTCTCCTTTGAGCCCTAACTCTTTAGGATTCGTAACACTTCTTGATGTGGATTCATGTTTGTTGAATGAATGAGTAAACAATTAAATTGCTAACAATTAACTCATATGTGCCAGGTTTTATTCTAAGTACCTTGTTGTTGTTGTTAGGTACCGTCGAGTTAGTTCCAGCTCATAGGGACCCAATGTACAACAGAACAAAATACTGTCTGGTCCTGTGTCATTCTCACAATAATTGCTGTTTGAGGACATTATTGCAGCCACTGTGTCAGTCTGTCTCACTGAGGGTCTTCCTCTTTTTTGCTGACCCTGCTTTACTAAGCATGATGTCCTTCTCCAGGGACTAGTCCTTCCTGATAATATGTCCAAAGTAGATGAGACAAAGTCTCGCCATCCTCACTTCTAAAGGATCATTCTGGCTATACTTCTTCCAGGACAGATTTGTTCATTCTTCTAGTAGTCAATGGTATATTTAATATTCTTCGCCAGCACTCTATTTCAAAGGCATCAGTTCTTCTTCAGTCCTCCTTATT